GGATGCATATGCTTATGCGCTAATACATTTGTTCGTCTCTAAGGTGCCACAAGTACTCCTGTTCTTCTTTTTGCGGATACAGACTAACACGGCTGCTACTCTGAAACTCTTATCTATGTGCTTATCAGCTTTGCTAGCTGAGCTACTGGAGATACTCCTTTAACGCCTGGCTGGGTAGAGATCTGTGTTTTTTGAAATGGAAGATTGCAGGATGTAGTCCCTCCACTTATGCATTTAGGTGGCAAGTGTCATGTATGTATTTGAGTGATACAAGAAACATTCAGCAGGAACAGCAGTGGGAAATTGGTAAAGACAAGATAGGAAAAACAAAAACTCATAGATCACCCCATCCACACCCTGCCAATGGCAGATTGTAACTCTGGGTAGTTTCTCACCAACTTCACCAGTATAGTTATATTGGGTCTGCACTTCTAAATCGAGCACCATTTTCCTTGTTTGTTTGAGGGCTGGAAACAACCTCAAAGTTTCTTCCTTCTCCTAGGGGTTTGACATCACATAGGACACACAGCTGCTATTGTCATGATGCAGGACAGGATGAGATCATATCTATGTCACATAGTATCCTATCTGGAGGTTGTGTTAGATTTGATCTCCCCCGATGTTGGCCATAGAGAATGTTTGTTTGCATGATGATATTTGAATTTAAGCAGAATGGTAGTACTATAGAGTACTCTGCCTCTTTACATTGCCTTTCACCTAGTTTCCTTATGCCTGTCAATATACCTGTGACCCGATATAACACGAATTCAGATATAATGTGGTAAAGCAGCGCTCGGGGGCAGGGCTGCGCACTCCGGAGGATCAAAGCAAGTTCGATATAACGCAGTTTCATCTATAACGCAGTAAGTATTTTTTTTTTTTTTTGGCTCCCGAGGACAGCGTTATATCGGGGTAGAGGTGTACACTATGGTTCCCATTAATCTAAAACATTATCACTAGATTTTACGTATCTTCCCTACTCTCCCCCTAAGAACAAAAAAAGCTAAAGAGATGGAATCTCCACACACATCTTTACTCAGCAATATTCCCTGGATGGAAAAATAAGGAATAGATTTCCCAAAGTACTCAAGGCCAGACTTTCAAATGCTCATTGCCTACTATTGGGGCAAGATTTTCAAAAGAATGCTGCATCCAGCAGCTACTATTGTGATACTGGCAGCCAGATTTCAAGAACTCAGCTCCTAGCTCGCTGAGCTCTCTTGAAACTCTGCCCCGATTGTGTTCTTTTGAAAATCTTCTCCAAGAAGTAGAGCAGGTGCTGGTCAAGCAAAAATGATAGATGATGACTTTTGTGCCAGGAGAATGATCATACACATCACTTCATCAGACCCATGAAGGAAGAAGGGGGCTGAGTCTGATTTCACATTTTTTCACTGTGATGACATGATCTCTTTGGCAACAGACAGATATCGTCTGTTTGTACAGTGCCTAGAACAGCAGGGAAGGGTTCTTGGTTGGCCTCTCAGCACTAACATAATAAAGATAAAATGGAACCACGAAATGATACCACTGCTGGGGAGAAGCAGAGGGTAGGAAGGGAAAAGGAAAGAGGAAGAAATTCATGTATTGCTAGGGTGTTTTGCTGACATTTAGCAGCTGCATACAAGCGGAGCCTGTATCATGTGATCAGCCTTGTCCTCACTGGTAAGGTGACCCGCTATCAGCCTGCTGGGGCCAACTCGGAGTGAAGCTGAAGTAGTGCGACCTCTAGTGTAGACAGAGGCTGTTTGCCTGAAACCAGGCACGTCGCAGCCTGGAGTCGTTTATCTTGTGCACACGCGAGGCACTGGCACTGGGGGAGGCCAGCGGGACACAAGCGGGGGAAATCCCCCGCGCGGCCGAGCGCTGGCAGCAGCCCGAGCTGGGATCTCTCCAAAATCCGGCCCCCCCCCGCCTCCTCTGAGGCCGGGGCCGATGGGGGTAGGCGGGGCCGCGTCCCTGCGAAGGGCAGGGATTATTAGGGAAGCTGGGGTATCCGTTGCGCGCGCCCCGTAGCCCCGCCCCCTCTCCTCCCGAGCGGGCACAGCGGCTAATGGGCTCGCGACTCCCGGCCCGCACCGCTACGCAACTGCAGAACTCGGAGCTGGCCAAGCCCGGCCCCAGTGCCTGCTCCCTTCCAGCGACTGGGCTCGCGCGCTCTGCTGCGATCGCCGCAGCACTAGTGTGCGCGCGGCTGTTTTCACACCCCTCCCTCCGCGCGCGGTTTTGCTTGGGAGGGGCGGGACTAACATGCTAATAAATCACACTCCTTCCTTGCTCTTTCCTGGGGTGCGCCGACCGAACGTGTCCGCCTATGGCCAATGGGAGCGCCTCCCTCGAGCAGCGCAGCCAATCACAGAAGGCGACCTGGGTTGTGGGCGGGAAGTGAGGGAAGCTCGCGCTCATGAATAAAGAAATAAGGCGAGGCTGGCTCGTGGCGTCAGCTGCTGGCGCGTGCGCCTTGGTGGTGTCTTTCCGGGAGCTGCTGGCGCAGCCCTAATTCTTAGCCTTCCCCTGCGAGGGTCTCGGCGTTGACACCGCTCGCCGGACAGCGGGGAGCATGCCCGGCCGCGCCGCGCGCCAGGAGGCAGCAGCGGGGAGCGCAGGGGTGGCCGCCTCCGCGCAGCAGGAGCGGAGCCTGGCGGGAGCCTTCCCGCTAGTGCTGAAGAAGCTGATGGAGAATCCTCCGCGGGACGCGCGCCTCGGTGAGGGCGGGAGCGCGCACGCACGGCGCGACCCCGAGAGCGGCCGGAGCGCGCGTGTCGAGGGGCGGGGCGAGTCCCATCTCCCTGGTTCCCGGGCCGGGTCCAGCTGAGCCGGGGCCCGCGAGTGCTCGGCGCTGCACCCAGCCCCGCTCGCCGGCTGCATGCTAGGGCCGGGCCCCGGCCTGGGCTCCAGTGGCTGCTGGCTGGCGGGCGGCGGCAGCAGGGGGGGGGGATTCCCCCTCCTTAGCCACAGGTCGGGGCTGCCGTGAAAAGACTTCTGGCCTCGGTGACTGACCTGCCCGGAGTCTGGCTGCAGCCTCGGGGCTTTTTGCCAATGCAAAATAGAGCAACATCAATCAAAAAAATCTCCCCCGAACAGCGCGGCCTGTGCCCCAGGGCTGGGCTTTGCTCCCTGCTCCAGGCGTTGCCACCTGGTGCATGCGAGTGTCCAGTTGCCTTACAGCTCCAGCCGAAATCAATGTGATTTACAAAACTAAGTCATCGGTGTCATTTGCATTTGGTTCACTAATATATACTTATGCTAGTACTCAGAGATCTGAGGCAAGACTGGCTCTATTATGCTAGGCACTGAACAAATGCATAGAAAGACATAGTCCTATCTGAAGAGCCTATGATCTACTATCAGCATGTGTGTTCCTGCTAGCTGTTGAGGAGTCCCAAGCCTCTGGCTGGTGAAGCAATTACTTTCTCATCCAGGTTTTTTCGTTCGCTATGAAATAAATTTCTTTCTATGCTTTTAAACGTAATGTGCAAAATACAGCAGGTTGAAGTAACAATGGTACCCTGTTATCACAGTGCTGTCCTTTTCAACAGAAATCTCATTCATGCCTTGAGACTTCCGAAGGCATATTCCACTTTGATTCTGTTCCTGCTAAGGAAGTAGTTTGAAGTAATGTCTGCCAGAGTAATTGGGGTAGGGTTTTCTAAGGGTTGGTATGCAGGATCTTCTAAAATCATAGCAGGGCTAAAAGGCTATCCTGGTCTCTCTGTGTGGTTGACCCTACTGACTGATCTATTCCATCTGCTTTGGAACAGCCCAGTGTTCTCAGGTTTGTGCATTGTGCTCTTTGCCAGGCTTCCCTATGTGAACAGTGAAGAGCCAACCTCTGATCCAGTAGGATTTACATCTCTCTGGAGTGTGTCATTCTGGTGACTGTTGTTTTATTCAGAATCAGAATGATGGTGCTGTCTATTTCTACATTGCAGCATGAGGAAATTTAGTTTACAATTGCTGAGCATTCTTGCAAGTATATATTTATACTGTGATCACACTTGCTGCATGAATTTGTACTGCTGTATACACTTCCCACACAATAGCCTGTATGTAGACTTCCAACCCCAGATGAACATCCCATCAAGCAGTAATTACCTGGGGTTCCTGGTTTCCACAGAGCAATCTTCACTGTGTTGCCTAAAGTAAGAGGAACTCTCATCCAGGTGCTCTTGTGTGGGAGTGAGCACCTCACAAAAATTGAAAAAATCTCATTGCTCTGCAGCCATTCCTCCTCATCCCAGGTCTTGACCATCACGCTTTCACCAGTCAGCGGATGTGCTTCTGCCCCCAAAATGGTACTCAGTCCAGTAAGGTCTAGAGGTAGGCACCTGATCTGAGTATGAGTGAGGTGTGATTTCATGGACAAAGTAGTGTCATTATTTAAAGCTGTCTTCTAATTCTTATGGGCCTCATTCTTTGCTGAGATTCTACTCCGTTTATCTATGACCTTCAGCAGTCAGTTGACTACGCTTCCAGGAATTCAGTCAGAAATGGGCTTTGCTTAGCATAGAGACAACTGTGCTTCTCCTGTGTATGACCTATAGTGTAGTTTATACAGAAAATTTTGTCAATCTCTGGGGAAAATTCTAAGATGTTCTCCTACAGCCTCCCCTTTTGGGGAACTGTGTGATAGGTACTTTGACCTATAACAAAATGTTAGAGGGAGTACTGTGTGGGGACACTGAATTTTTTCAGGAACAAATGCTTTTATAAATGCTTAGCTGAACTGTTACAGTTAGCATTTAATGTAGATGAACTTTGTGTTATTTCCAAATCGAATATGAAAATCCCCATTTCCACCTCTCCCCCTTCTTGTACCTAATCTTTCCCTCTTTGCACTTCTCTCCCACCTTCAGGATAAACGTTCTTGTTACCTCAAAGGCTTCTTAATAGTTTCCATTGTAACCTGACCCTTCCACATGTACTTTTCCTGTCTTCCAGGAAAAGCCTGGGAGAAACAAAATATCTGTTGTAAATCCTAAAGATAATCAAATCTAAACTTCGGTGAATCATGGTGCTTAGGAGCATGTGTATTATACCACCCCTGGGTGGGTTGTTGGCAGTGTGGATTAAACAGAGGACCTCTATGCTAAAAGACCCTGCTCTCTTAGCTCCAAGACTTTAATGTACCTGTAAATCTCTGTGGCCTACCTATTAGATGGAGACCGACAAACTGTTAAGTGTGGGTTACACATGGAGATTGGGCTGAGTAAATTGATGTAGAACGTGTCAAGGAGTGAATTTCCTTGCTCTGATGGAGTCTGTATTGAACTCTTACCATTATTTAAACCTAGTCTTTAATCTTCTAACCCATATTTTACACAGTGACCTTTATGTTTTTGTCTTTTAGATAAAGAAAAGGAGAAGGAAAAACTTGAGGAGGATGAAGCAGCAGCTGCCAGCACTATGGCAGTCTCTGCCTCCCTCATGCCTCCCATTTGGGACAAAACCATCCCTTATGATGGGGAATCTTTCCACCTGGAGTACATGGATCTGGATGAGTTCCTCCTGGAGAACGGAATCCCTTCTAGCCCTGCTCACCTAGGCTTGAACCAGAACCCGCTCCTGCCTGTGGCTGAGCTGGAAGGAAAAGAGCCTGCCAGTGCGGCTGCTGCCTCCCCTCCCTCATCATCTTCCACTGTAGTTTTCCAACCATCTGAAGCTGCCTCCGGCACAGGTAGGTGAAATACTTTGAAGCCATGTGGACAGTTTCTGTTGCTATTATATGTAAAGAGGCCTCAAACCTGAGGAGAAGCATTACCACCCTGCTGAGATTAGCTTCAGAAGCTTAAATAGCATAAATGTGTTTAGCCTATACATTTACATTCATCTGTAAATTCCTGCTAATCTTTATGAAGAGGTCTTTCCCACTCCCAAAATAACGTAGGGCTTGTCTACACTTATTGCTGCGGCACGATCAACGCTTCGGTGGTCAATGTAGCGGGTCCAATGAAGACCCGCTAAATCGACCACTGATCGCTCTCCCGTTGACTCCTGTACTTCACCTGATCAAGAAAAGTAAGGGGAGTTGATGGGAGAATGTTTCCCGTCAACATTGTGTAGTGTGGACCCCACGGGAAGTAGATCTAAGCTATGTTGATTTGAATTACGCTATTCATGTAACTCAAATTGCATAGCTTAAATCGACTTTTCCCTTAAGTGTAGACAAGGCCTTAGTGCCACTGCCGCTTAGCCACTTCTCATTACTGTATCTGATTGCAAATCTTGTGGATGTTGATGCTAGGGAATGAGCCCAGCTAAAATAAGAATCAGCACAAACATTCTCCCACAACTGAAGCAGGACTTTTTTTGAGGTTTTAATATCTGTCTTCAAAAAAAAAAAATCACATTGCTTCTGTGCTGTTTTGTTTCTAGTTGGAATTGGAAAATCTGAAATACCAATAAATTTAGCCTTTCTAATTGGTACTTCTAACCTAGCAAGAGTCTGGAATTCCTTGAATTCTTGTGGAAAAATCTGTTACTATAAGATCTGCAGGCTTGATAGGTTCAGATAAGCTTTTGAACACCTTGGTGGTTCAGTCCGTTGAGGTAAACCATTAGTAGTTAGTGTACATCCAATGAACTTTGCTTTATGGAAATGTTATAATAAAGCTTGTGAAATGTGACAGCTACGTTTTTTGGACAGAGGCTGTTTTATATTTTAGTTTTGACGCTCCAAGGAATGCTTGGAAGTCTCTTGAGTACCTGAGATGAGAAAGGAGAGACAAAAAAATAAAACACATTTCTAGTGCCTCCACCTTAGCTACCCGTGACCTGATCCTAGATAGCGGTGTGCATATCTGGAGAGGAGCTTCACTTTTCAGTTTAGTGCTGGATTTGGGAACTCCACACAATAACACTGCGCATATTTAATGGCTCTTTTGTGAGAAAAGAACCTGCAAGAAGGCCTTATGGAAAGGGCCTGAACCCTGACCCCCTTTCCACAAACCTGGTAGACAAATGCACAACATGGAATACAAGGTTTTTCAGCAGGAGGGAGGAAAGAAACCATGCATCAAGTGCTCACTTGTGGACTCCATGTTTATATATGATGTGTTTTATGTTATCCTTTGGGTATAGTTTTTTGTTGTTTCTCCTAAACTCTTGTGTAGTGTTGCTAATGTTTTACTGCCCAGATATGTGGCTGCATTTCATTAGTGGAAGAAGAGATTCATTTATCCCTACCTATATTTCACTTCGTGCTAAAATTTGCAGTTCATCTGTATGAAAGATGTTTATAAACATAAGGTTACTGTAATGTGACTTTTAACTTGTCTTTAAAGGTCACGCTACCATTCTGTTTCTGTCACAGTACACATCTCTTCCACACTGGGCCCTCTGTTATTACTCTTCTATTTACATATAACAAATAAGGAAGAACATGATGTGTGGATTTTTATCAAACCTCTATTTTTCATGCTGAAAATTAAATTTTGTGTGGTCTTCAGTGGGCTGAGTGAGAGAAATCTCCAAGCCAGCTCATGCTTCTGTGGGAATTTCTGAGCCATAAATGGCAGGGAGCTAGAGCTCTGAATTTCTGATTTAACTCTGTTGGAGCAAATACTTCTTATATGTAGCGAGGTGCACAAGGGAGAAACTGATATCTTTCTGCCATTTTTATCTTCTTGTATCTCTCATTCTGGGCATGCATTTCTTCCATGGTGAAGGAGGTTATCCAGCATTTCTGTGTAAGGCTGAGATGTTAGTTCCATCCCCTGCAAGAGATATCTTGTACAGTACTGAGTTGACTATTAAATAGAAGTGATAAATGTGGCATACACTAGGACAGTGAGCAGAGATGCCCATATATGGGTACCTGGATTTATTTTCTTCGTCATGCTGATCTCCTATTGTGATGTTTACTGCCTTTTACTAGAATCCTCCCCAGAGAGTGAGAGAGAGACTCCGAGCCCTGTTGATCCAGACTGCATTGAGATTGATGTGAACTTTAATCCCGACCCTGCTGACTTAGTGCTCTCCAGCGTGCCCGGTGGTGAGCTTTTCAATCCTCGCAAGCACAAGTTTGCTGAAGAGGACCTGAAACCACAGCCCATGATTAAAAAGGCCAAGAAGGTTTTTGTCCCAGATGAGCAAAAGGTAACAGACTTATTATATCAGACTGATGAGGCTTTACTCAGGGTTGTGGGGGGGTCTTTTTTTTTGTATGTTGAAATAAATTTGGGGCAAGGCCAATGTGCCATACCTACAGAGTTGAGTGGAGAATGTTTCTCAGAAGAGGGTTGGCAGGCTGATTCCTATTCAGCTGAAAGGCCCTTACTGCTTTGTTAACTTGGAGCAGTGAGTGAATTGTTGGGCAGGAGTGACTTGTGATGGTAGACACAAAAAAGGATGGAAAAACTAAGTTGTCTTAGCTCATTCCTCCCTTCTCTTCCTCACTAATGCAAATTTGCCCCCCACACTGTATACAGTCTTCATGGTCATGTTCTCATTTGCCAGTGCTTTTTGTTTAGTCCAGTTCTAAATGCCCCGGACAATGAAACATTAATCACTTTCATTGGGAGACTGTTCCACAGGCTAATAGACTTAGCTGTTAAGAAATTGTTCTTGATGTCCAGCTGAGATGTTCCCTTTGTTTAATTTCATCTCGGTTTTAGTTCCCCACCCCACCTTGGACTATCCTAAATAGGCTTCTTGTGAGGAGACAATCTTCCAGTACCAGGTTGCCTAAACTTCAGTTAGTATCTGAGCCTAGCCAACCCAACAGCTTCCTGCATGAGCTACAGGAAGAAGTCCAACAGCAAGTAGGATGGCTTTTTTTGGATAGGATGACTCTTGTGGTAGGGCAGGAAGGTAGCTGTTTGACACTGGATATGAAATACTGAGCTGTCAGATTGGCATCTTTTTTTTTTTTTTTTTCCTACAGGATGAAAAATATTGGACAAGGCGAAAGAAGAACAACGTGGCAGCAAAGCGTTCCCGCGATGCTCGGCGACTGAAAGAGAATCAGATCACAATCCGAGCAGCCTTCTTGGAGAAGGAGAACACTGCCCTCAGGACAGAGGTGGCAGAGCTGCGCAAGGAAGTGGGGAAATGCAAGAACATTGTCTCTAAATATGAGACCAGATACGGACCCTTGTAAGCACACTTTCTTTCCTTGCTAGGGCTCCTTGTTTAGCTCTTGGACTTCTGTAGAGACTCCCAGAAATAACATGTGTGGAGGCTTTGTCATTGTGCATCTATAACAAAGATCTGCTTCTGATGGCACAACTTGGTCAGGTCCTTTCCTGACCCTTGTGGTGCCAGAATCTAGGTTGTGTCCATCTTTACAGCTTTGTGTTAACACTGCTAGAGCAGTTGGTGATGCTAATCTAAGAGAATGGATTCATCCATCCAGGGGAATAAAAGTGAATCTGATTAGATTGTTGGACAAGGCTTTTGCTTTCTGTTCTAATTTCCATTTTAAATGGAAAGAGAGCTAGCTGAAGTGCAAAAGTCTCCTGTCCATTCGTTCTCTCTCTCTCTTGCTTTTAAAACTTAGTTTTATCATTTGGGTGCTGCGGGACAGCATCATAAAAAAAGTTCCTTTCCCAGTTCCTAGATATTGGAACGTAGCTGATCAGCATCCGTTGTGCAGGGCTCTGTGCTCCTGTTCAGGAGGAACAGGGAAACCACCTGGGCCTGGGAACCGTCTGTCTTCTGCAGAGGTGAAGATAACATTCTGATGAATATGCATTTGTGTAAACCAGAGTGCAGTGAAAACATTGTTTCTAAACAATACTTGTACATTTTTCTTTGGCTAGCTCCCAGATCCATAGGATGAGGTGCAGGGCAGAGAGCCCCATACTTCTCCTTTACTAATGTGAGGTAACGCTTTTTGAGTTCACAGCAATGGATTTTAGGGGGTGCATCGCTCTCTTCTTCCTTTTCCCTAATACAGTTAGGGGACTTCTTTTCTTGAACAACTAATTATGCAGCACGTGACTCTTCATTCAGAAGTGAAGGAGAAGGGCACCACCAAACCTTGAGTCATTCACCTGTGGCCTCATCAGATCAAACCTTAGGTCCATCTCGTTTGGGAATCACCAGCACTTTGTGTTTTGGGCGGGGGGAACAAACCCAAACCACCACTCTAATGCATCTTCCCAGTTGTACAAGTGTTGGTGGGGGATTTCTTGGTCCTTTTGAGCAAGCTGGGGAGCAGCCACACCCACTCTAAACACGAAGAATTTCTCTCACAACCTCTTTGGGTGGCAGTCTCTCCATACCAGCTGGTTTTCTCTCAAGCACATGACTTGCCCTCTTGGTGCTGAGAATGGATTACTTTCCAGCGCTGCTCCTACAATAAATGGTGCTAAAGAAAAATGCATTCTTGTGTAACGTTGGAGGCCTCCTCCACCTGCAAGAATGGAAAGCTTTAGTAAGATGTCTGGTACAAATGTAGACAGTCATTGTCATATGTATTTTATCCCAGGTTTATGGCAGTGAATATGTTAGAACTGGTGGGGTTAGATGTCTGGGGATGGTGTTTGTATTTGGGAGCAAGAGGAGCGTGGGAGATAAAAAGATTTTAGGATAGATTTGAGTGAAGGAATTACAAACTTATAAGAGCATGTAGAAGTTATGGGGTTTCTTTTTCTGTAACAGAGATTTTGACTAGCTCAGCTTTGCGAGCTCAATATGAGAATAACGCAGCCTTTCTAAATTCATATGTTAGCTCCCTAATGGAGTGGGGAAGGAGGCTAATCCAGCATGATGAAAGTCAATCTGTACAGGAGCTGTTTTTCCCCCTGCATTATTACCTGCTTGTCTGGGCTGAGCTGTTTTTTTGTGCAGCGCCAGTCTGATTCCTCCTGAACGTCAAAGAGGGAGATAGAAAAAACCCAGTGGTGTGGGATTCTTTCACAGAGTGGTATGTAACGGTGATAGGAGGAGTATATTGTAAATAAATTGTCACACTTACTGCTTTGCTTTATTTAAAGTGACTTATCTGATTCCGAGTGATGCAACTTTAAAGACTTCTAAAAACAAAGAAACTAAAAAGCACACATGAAACCATCTGTCTTCAGAGTGAGCAGTGAGATGTGTGAGAGGTATCCAACACAAACAACTGACGGGGGACACTGCCTGCAAGTACCCCATCTGAACTGCCCGGGGGCTGGCATGAGGAAAAGTGCAAGGTCTTCTTAATGCTGTGTATGGCTTTCTTATCTCTTTTTTTTGTACTAATGTTTGTCTTCTCTCTGTAATCAAACTACAGTAATGTTACTTACTGACACTTGTCAATTACACTCACAGCTCATGTCTTTCAGTCCAATCTGTTGATGACTTGTGTGAATGGTGACTCTGTTTTGATACTTGAATGAAATGGGAGAAAGGGGGATTCTAACTTAAAATGGCTTAAAGGATATTGTCACCGATTTTTGGGGTGAGGGGGCAGTGGAATAGGTTTTAGCTACTGTTGCAGCTGGATTCTGACAAGCGTAGCATCTTGAGGTACTGCTCGGGGTGCTGAACTAGAGGCATCCAGGGAAAATAGTCTAGGTGTGCAAGAAAATGTAACAGATTTGTTGAAGTAAACTAAAAAGCACCATCGAGTGTGCTGTACAAAGGGTAACAAATAAATCCTGTTATATACCCCAGATGACAAACACAGCTCCTTAACTACTTCCTCCCCTGATATGTACATTGTGGGGAGCCCACCCCCGTCACCTTTTACTTTTAAGGGGCTCTTTGTATCCCAGTAAAACAAATTACATCCATTTTCCTGTCTGCTGCACCAAAATAGGGGAGAGGTGTGTACCTCTGAGCTGCTGAGCCCTGTATTTTGCTGCAAGCCAGACCAGTCAATCTATATTGAAGCCCCAGGGGAACAGTGGCTAGCAGCTACTATGCTCTGCATCCTTCTCTTTTTTTCCTACTGCACTCTAATTCCCCAAGCACCTCGGAGAGTACGGCGTACATCTGTCTCATGGACCCCAAATATCCAGCAATGCCATTGTCCTAATGGAACAGCTTTAAAAACAAAGACCCTGGGCATGTATGGAGGTAGATGAGGCACTTAGAGAGCATTGCAGGGATGTTGGCCCTGTGTAGAAAAGGGAGGCTGTCCATGGAAGGAAAGGTGCCATCAATACTGCAAAAGAATCCTAACCAGACATCATAACCAAATCTATAGGTGAAAGAACAAATGGAATGGCTTATTTCCAGTAAAATATTGTAGGGCTGCACTTGTATCCAAGGTTCTGTCAATAACATAGAAATGAAGAGAAGAAGTTTTTTCTATGTGTCTATATGACAAACTCTCTGCCAGGTGGCTGATCAATAGCAGACACCTGGTTGATAAAGTGCTCTTGAAAGCCTGCAAAAGGAAAAGGGCCTAAATGGGAGGCTCAGAATCCATTACAACGGAAACTTATGAAGTATGGTTTAATACTGTACAAATACTGTGTCTTCATCTTCCCCAGAGGGATCCTGCCCTCAGAACTTCTTAGTAGGAAGGAGAAGAGGAAAGGGTGCAATGGGGAGAAGCAGACTGCTGCAAACTTTCTTTAAACAAAGTTGTAACCAATTCATTTTTCAGTGTAGCCTGGCAACGATGAACGGGCTTTATCCATCAAGTGCACTGCTTGATCTAGTCTTGCAAGTGGACCATGTTTTCAGTGTTAAAGAACATGCTTTAACTTTTTTTCCTAACCAGTAAGAAATGTTATTAATATGTATATAATAAGATTCCAGGATTGTCACTCTGAAGCCTATTATGTCTGTAGAGTCAATGTGAAGCGATGGAAACAGCTACACAGGTAGTTGAGAGCTCTTTTTGTTCTGAATATCACCAGGTGCAGTCATTGCTGTGACTTGTGATCTGTTACTGTCATAAGTTCACAGCCATTTTTGGCTTTTTTGCACACACACAACTTTACAAATTACATTCATGGAACAACAAAACTAGTACTTTTATAAGTTGGAACTCTTAAGATTCGCTAGGATAGTACATGAAAGTTTCCAAATATCTGCAAATGGGTTACTATTCCAGCATCAAATTCCTAAAATGTCAAGGATATATTACCACCTGTATAAAGTGCTGCAGGCTTACACCTTGTACTGCAGATCTGAACAACCCTTTTTTTTGGTGGATTCTTTTTTTAGTTTAAGGGCCTTGATTTTAAAGATGTTGAATGCATGTAAATGTATTAACATCTTCTAGCATATATTTCCAATTACTTAGTTCTGAATTATTGTTTTTCACAACCATGTTAACCATTTGAGGAGAGGTGCTACTAACTGTGCCAGGTACATCTTAAGGTAGCAGGTGCCGAGGAGGTCCAGCAGCTCCTGGGTTTAGGAATATTGTAAAAGTACAATTGTGGCAAAAATATTTTGTGTAGTCAGCAGGAGATCAGTGCTGCTGTGGAACTTCAGATCTGCAGAGCTCCTAACCTTTACAGAACTGAAGCTCCTGGTTATCAAAAGTCCTGATTTTACAAAATGTTTAGTTATCTCAGAGCTTTGTAAAACAGGGTGTGTCTGTATTGTTTTCTCCTGGCTGTGGTGGGTGAGCCCAAGACAAAGGGCAGATGCAGAGGTGATCTGACCCATTAACTTCATATTGTACAGTAACCTAGATCTAAATATTTACTGAGGAAAGAACATTTATTTTAGTATCTTTTTTTTTTAAAGGGCTTTTCCTCTCACAGAAATACAAAATCTTGACCAGCTTTGTTGGTCTTAAGTAATTCTTCTGTTGTGCATCTACCAAAACCACCACTAAAGGTTGGGGGAAGGGACAACAAAGCTAATAAAGTTCCTTGGAGATCGTCAGTATTTTTAGCCGGATGGTTCATTATTCTTTATTGTGCGGCTTTTTTAGAATACAAACATTTAAAGTTCAGGCTGTCACAATGGAGTGGAGAGTTGTGAGGGAGGTAAAAAAAGTAAGCGGAGGATAAAGAGGAGTGGAAAAAACAAAAGATAAGATTAAGGCAAAATACTAGCCTGAGCCAGAATGCTGAAACTGAGGCCGACCTGCTTCTAACTTTTGGGGCAGTTCGGATCCAGATCTCAACCCCACAGCTTGGGCTCTTACCCAAGATGTTTACTTTTTTAAGTGATGGGCGCCTCCTTTTCTTCGCCATATTTTTTATGGCCTGAGATAGAGCATGAAGATGAAAAGAACTTGGGAGAGTGAGGGAAGGTGCTATTATTTCTAACTACAGTAGTTGTTATATTAATGTACTCACTATATGTCCATTCAATTAAGGCACTTGATTCTGACTTGCAGATGGCAGTATTACTGCCCTTTGCTCATGTGGTGGCCTGAATTGTTTGACAGAGCTGCATCCATATATGCAGCTGAAGGTGAGGTGAGGATTTGTTTACTTACCTAAATGGAATAACAGGTAGCTGGTATCTGTCTTCTAGAGCAGCGATGATGTATCTGTTTGCTACTGGTCAGGATAATGGAAGGATTAATCTTCTACACTCGTGATTTATTGGAATATTGTATTTTGTATAACTTAGAACATGTAAATACACTTTTAAAATTAATTGTCCTATGAAGTAATAAATAGCACTTCCATTGTAACACCTGAAAATTGTTAAAAGTGCTTCATGTCGCATGACTTGGGATTTTTTTTCCTAGAGAACTGCAGAAATCAAAGTGAGATTGATGTTGTGGAGTTTTAATTTAATTGTGATGCTTCCTGGTAACACAAATATTTAAAAATAATAAACCACCCAAGCCGAGAAACTTCATTTTATTTTTTTACAGTAATCACTTAGGTGACATTCATCACTGTACTCAGACAATCCCATTTTCTGGATAGTCAGTTTTGTTGTTGGCCAGTAACATTTGGAAAGCACTCCTATTGGTCAGTTTCATAAAAAGCACTGTGCAAGTCCAGAAAAACAGTAACTTGGTTTTTAAATTGGTTGTGGCTTAAATGTAGCCCTCTACCCAGACTTCAATGTCATTGACTGTTACTGCAACTCATCCATAACATAAGTAGAATAAACCTTCATCAGTCATGTTGTGTACACACAAATATACGGTTATCCTACTCGCACACCTTTTGGTGCGTGAAGAGATCCATTGAATTTTCAGTGCATTTTCACTGGATACTGCACAGATGGAACTTCCAGCAGCCAGTCAAATTCTTCTTTTTGTGTCAATTTTAGACTAGAGGAAAACAAAATTCATGGTTGAGAATCATGGTCAATGTGTTAGGAAGTAACTTGTCCTTGTCCTTCAAACTTTATCTAGCACTGGGGCCCACAGCCCTGTGATAAAACCTTCCCCCTGACATCTCTTCAGCTCACTGACTTTAACTGATGTACAGCAGTGGCCTCCACTCCAGTATCTGCTGCTGCTGCAGCATTCCATTGAAATAACAATGGAAAATTACACATTTTTCATAGTGGGCAGAAATGGTGGTACATTTTTGTATTATGTTCCCAAGCTGTTAAGTAACTGTGAAGCAGCTAAGTTTTATGTGCAAGTTATTCACTGGAGTTCTGCTCCTGTCAAGGTTTTTTGGAGAAGAGGAGAGAGTCTGTTTTGATCTCATTAGTGTTTCTGGAAGAATCTCATTTGGTGTGTTTTGGTTTACACTACATTTTAATGCCAGAAGCAAGAGAATTTTGAAGTGTCCTTTATTTGGATCTGCAGATGACACCACTCTATCCCACTAAATAAGGAAAAATTTAACCGCAGAACGTTTTATTAACTGCAAAATATTTATATAGCTCTTGCTTTGTGTCATTAAACAATTGCTGTATTTCACCTCCTGGGTGTCTCCGTTTTTGAGGAAGGCAAAGTAATTCCTGTATATAGTTTTGTAAGTCTGTAAAATGCTTTTCGGATCGTCCTGGATGAAAGGCCCTATAGAAATGTAAAAATTGCTACTAATTTACCAGATACGATCATGTTTGTGAAATAGGTGGGTAAAGTTGTCTATTACCATAAATAATCAAGCTTCGCTATTAAATCCTGTACCCAAAACTGCTCATTTTGTATACACACTCTTGCCAGCTGATTGGAGAAAATAAAGGTGCCTGAATTGCAGTCTAATGAGGAAAGGGCATTTCACTCTACACCTGGTATCCTCCTATATTTCCACTTCTGACTACTTTTTTTTTTAATGAACAAACTGGATTTGAAGTTTCCAAGTCTTGAAAAATCACTTGGAATTTGTGGGTAGTTGAAATCCTTTCTGTTCTTGACAACTTTTTTTATGTCTTTTTTTTTTGTTTAACGTAAAGTTTTGACTGTATGAAATTGTTAGTATTTTTCCTTTTTAAAAAAATAAAGTGTATATTCCACTATAATAAGATCTAGTCATGTATTTTTCTCTCTCTCTCTGCCAGCGTTCTGCCTGATGCTGATCCTTCAATTGTTATGGAAAGGGGCTGCATCTTCCAAAATTAGGTCCTACTGGTCTACTTGTATGCGTATACGGTGTACACGCAACACAGTTTCTCATCTTATGTTTCCTTTATTACATTGGGATTATAAACTGACTTCGGAAATGTCACAAGGTTTCATACTTAGTGTCCCTCGATCACTTCCAGATCAAACTTTCACTTTGCAAGGTCCAAAGAAAACTTGCCAATGCCGCAAACATAATCTGTGCTCTTTCTGCCCCAGCACTATAATGACACAGTTAAGATTTAGTTGGCAATCTTGTGGACGAAGCAGAATTTTATTTAGGACTCCAGGGAGCAAATATGTTGAAAATGATCGCCCCCCCCCCCCCGCCTATTTTAAACCTCAACCAAACTTTCTAAGAATGGTGCTGGTGAAGAGTGCTGGATTATTTACACCCCCAATCGGGTAAATCCTACATAGTAGTAGCACATGGTTTTTACTACCCCCTCCATCCCCACGCTGTGCTTCAGACTTAACTTAAAAGGACCACTCCTAGGGAAAGGCCTTCGGTGTCTTTGGCCCCATTCAATCCTTGGGGGCCAGTTGTGACTTTAGTATGAATAATGAAGGTGCTGTAGATGTACATGGTATCACAGGGGTAGCCATCACATTGTAGTAATCAACACTTCATATGCATGGAGTGAAAATTACAGATACAGGCATAAATACATATTGGCACAATATAAATGCCTGTATCTATAATTTTCACTCCATGCATCTGAAGTAGGTTTTTTTTTACCCACAAAAAGCTTATGCCCAAATAAATGTTAGTCTTTAAGGTGCCACCAGACTCCTTGTTTAAATGTATGTGGTGCTTTACAAAACAAAGCAAGCCCTGTTCCATGCACCTAAAACTGTAATGAGATTGTTCTTCGTAGACGTAGTCCTCCCCCAGCCTTCCCTTTTACGGGACTGTATATTTAGACAATCTCATTACAGTTTTAGGTGCATGGAACAGGGCTTGCTTTGT